GAAGTACTGAGGAGGTGATCTACCTGACCCTCACCCGCAGCTTGGGGCAGATTGACTTCCTGCTTTTCTGGCCAGGCAGCCAAGAAGCAGCTAGGTTGAGATGGTCCAGAGCAGAGAAGACCTGAGTGGTCGGGATGTCAACAGGGCCCACATACCTCAGCCAAAAAAGAACCAGAGCAGCTCCTGGGCCGAGGCAAGAGCAACCGGCAGCCAGAACGGAGAGCCTCTGTGCTGCCGTGAGAGAGGTAGAATAAATCCCACCCAGATTCACATCCTTAACGCCACACCTGTGAACTTGTTACCTTGTGGGCAAAAGTGACTTTGTAGATGTGATTAAGTTAAGGATCTTAAGATGTGAGATTAGCCTGAAGAGGCCCCATGTGTAATTAATTACAAGGGTCCTTAGAAGAGGGAGAGGAGAGTCAGAGAAGGAGATATGTTGGGATAAGTAGAGGTCAGAGAGAACTGAAGAGACTTGTGCTGGCTTTGATGATGGAGGAAGGGGGCCAAGGCTGCCAGCAGAAAACAGATTCTCCCTTAGGCCTCCAGAGGGAGTGCGACCCAGCCAATACCTTGATTGAATGGCTGGTAACCTCCAGAATTGCAAGATAATCAAAGGGTGCTGCTTTAAACCACTGTTGTTAGTAACTAGTTACAGCAGCCACAGGAAATGAGCACAGCTGCCAGGGTAGCTGCAGGGGAGGGGCTAGTAGCAATGGAGGCTGGGTAGAGGCAGGAAGGGACCCCAGAACAGCCAGTTTAAAATTCTGCCAAGGCTGGCTGAAAGCACAGCAGCTGCAGCCAAGTAGGGAATTTTCCAGTCCCTACATCTTCCTCCTCTGCTTGTTCTGGTTATTGCAGAGGGTCCCTGAAAACCATGACGATGGAAGAGGTAGGAGGAGATGTGGTACAGGGAAAAGAGAAAGAAGCAAGACTCCTCCCCAAATGCAAGTCTCTCAGAGGCAGAAGAATTTAAATCATGTTCGAAGTTTTGACCATCTCCAAAACTAGCATTTCAATAACTGGATTATGACTGTGTATATTGTCTTGCAAGTCACAGGACAAAAAGCATAGCCGACTCTAAGTGCAAAGGAACACTAGGAAGTGAGGACAAAGCCAAGCATATGATGATCGCAGGAAGCCTGGTCCCCATAAGGGCGCCATTCTCTGTTTTCGGGGAGTGGGCTACAGCTTCCATCAGTCAGCGATTTTACATCTGCTGTGGTTGGAATTATGAATACGAGGAAGAGGTCAAGGTTTGGGCTTGAGAAGAGCCGTATCTGGCCCGTGGGAGTGGGGAGGGAATAACAAGAAGAAAGGCAGAGGGAAAAAGACAAGATCAAGAGGGCTGGAGGACACGGTGTTCTTCACACTGCTTACCTCCCCATGCAGGGCCAGGAGGGCAAGTGGGCGACAGGAAGAGAACCCACGGGCTACCAGAGATCAACCAAGAGGAAATGCCGCTGGCAACCCTCTGCGCCGATCGATCACCTGCGCTCCTGGCCCGGCTTTTGTGCCGCCTCTGCCTTGCTACCTGGGGCCTGAGGGAGCTGGCAAGGCATGTTTGCGCTGATAGAAGTGAAGGCCCATGGGCTGCCCACTGGAAGGAGATGAACAGTGCGCCCTGCACAGCTGCAAAGCGCACACGGGAGGGGGATCCACGACCCTCATGTATTACTGATAGAGGGTTTCTTTGTGAGCCCTTGGCTGTAATCCTGCCCTACTACGTGCTGGATGCTTACATATACATTCCTAGTCTTAGAAACATCTCTGCAGGAGACGCAGGGTAAGTATGTTCCACATGCCAAGGAACAACCTAAATCAGACAATAAAAAACAAAATTTCATAAATACTGTCCAGACAATTGCACAATAATCCACTACATACCAAGCACTTACTATGAGTCAGATTCTGTTTCAATTAGTAGCAGTATGTGGCCAGCCATGAGAGAATTAGAGACCAAAATTATGGTGGTCGGGAAACACACAAGAGTTGAAAATATACTTGATTTATATAAGCAAGAAAATAACCTTTTACTATAAAGAGTTGGGATGGCAATATATATCTGGCAATGTAATTCCAAAGGACACGCGGCACAAGGCACTACAATCCTTCATCTTTTCTGTTCCATCCTCAGAGCTCCAACAGAGCTGCTGGAGTTCCAGCCATCATGTCCTCTTATTCCAATGGCATAAGGCAAAAATGACTCTTTAACTGAGTCAGCAATTTACAGAGAATTCTCATGTCTCAAACAACAATTTCACTTAGATCTTGGTCATGATCCACCTCACTGCAAGGAAGGCTGGGAAATGCCAATTTTATTGCAGGGTAGTCCCATACTCAAAACAAAATGCACTTGTTATCATTGAGAAAAATAAAATGAGTGTGTCCTGCCATAGGCTCTTGTAATTTCAGTAATACAAGAGCAACTCCGAATGAAAAGAGCATTGATATCCCACTTACAGTCAGCTCAGGAGCTCAGGCAGAGGCCAGACTCACACTAGGCCCAACTGAGCCCAGCTTCTGTCTTTCCACTTTGCCTCAGCCACCAGACAAATTGAGGCTGCCCTGGAAGCACAGACAGGAGGTTGAGACAGAGCCTTTCCACACTGTTCATGCTGCAAAGTCATGCCAAACCTCCATCAAGAGGGTGTGAGGACGTGCAGGGCCCACTGCACTCCAAGCGGGAGGAACCCTAAGGTCCATGAGTTTGGGGTGTGTGTGTGCAGGTGTCTGTATGTACTGTGTCTGTGTGTTTCAGTGTGAGTGTGGGTATGTACATGTGGGGGTGTGTGTCTGTGTGTGTTGTGTGTGTGTTTCAGTGTGAGTGTGGGTGTGTGTGTTGCAAGTATGTCTGTGTGTATGTTGTGTGTCTGTGTGTTTGTGTTTGAGTGTGGTGTAAGCATGTAGGTGTGTGTGTCTGTGTCATGTGTCTATGTGTTTCAATGTGAGTGTGTGGGTATGTAATGCAGGCAGGTGTGTGTGTTGTGTGTCTGTGTGTTTCAGTGTGAGTGTCATTGTGTATGTGTAGGTGTGTGTGTTGTGTGTCTATGTTTCAGTATGAGCGGATTGTATACATGTTGTATACATGTAGGTGCATGTTTCTGTGTAAGCATGGTCTCATGTGTGTTTCAGTGTATGTGAGTGTGGGGGTGTGTCGGTGGTGTGTCTGTGTGTTTCCAGTATATGTGCATATGCAGGTGTGTGTGTTGTGTCTGTATTTCAGTGTGAGTGTGGGGTGTGTATATGTAGGTGTGTGTTTCTCTGCAAAAGTGTGTCTGTGTGTTTCAATGTCAAAGTGTGGCATGTATGTGTAGGTGTGTGAGTGTTGTGTGTCAATGGGAAAGTTTCCAGCATGTGGTTGTGCATGCAGAGTGCATGTGTCTCTAAAGGTAAGTTTCAGGTGTATGTGTGCGTGGTGTGGGGGTGTGTGGTGTGTGTTTCAGTGTGAGTGTGGGTGTGTATGTGTGTAGGTGTGTGTGTCTGTATATTTCCATGTGACTGTGGATAGGTGGTATGTGTCTGTGTGTGTGTTGTGTGTCTGTCTTTCAGTGTGTGAGTGTGACTGTGTGTGTAGGTGTGTATATGTGTGTGTGTGTTCGGGTGTGAGGACAGTGTGTTTAGGTGTGTGTGTGTTGTGTGTCTATCTGTGTGAGTGTGACTATGTGTGTGTGTGTGTTGTGTGTCTGTGTGTTCTGGGTGGGAGTGACTGTGTGTAGGGGTGTGTGTGTATGTTGTGTGTGTGTGTGTTCGGGTGTGAGTGACTGTGTGTAGGGGTGTATGTTAAAGGTCTGTGTGTTCGGGTGTGAGTGACTGTAGTGTGTAGGGGTGTGTGTATGTTGTGTGTCCAGGTGTTCTGGGTGTGAGTGACCTAGGGTGTGTATGTTGTGTGTCTGTGTGTTCGGTGTGAGTGACTTCTGTGTATGTAGATGTGTGTGTGTTGTGTGTCTGTGTGTTCGGGTGTGAGTGTGGCTATGTGGCAAGTGTGTCTGTGAGGGAAGGTTGAGCAATGTCAGGAATAGGCCCTGGCTTCCTGGTTCCCTGAGGCAGATGAGGAAGCCTCGAAACAGGCCTGGTGCTTCAGGGCTCCTCCCCCTGGGTTCCCACACAGAGCCATCACTGCACATTTGTGCGTCCATCTTCCCAAATGACAAATTCATAATAACAGGCCTTCTAGGAACCGAGCGTAACTGCACCAAGCCTGCATTCTGTGTGCCTGGGACACAGCCCAGCCTCCACCACCAGTGGCTTCTTCCTTCCCTAACTGGCCGCCTAAGTTCTGGGATTCCCATCAGGTCCCCAGGATGAGGCCTTTAGGAAACCAGAATATCCAAGCAGAAAGCTTCTCGTGCCTCACAACCTGAAGCTTCCTGGCTGCTTCCTTCTCCTCCAAAACTTTAAGTCCAGCGGAAGCCACTCCAGGACTTGGCGGCACTGGGGGAATCATCGGGTGTCGTGGAGCTGACTCTCCTCACTTCACACTTTTCTGCAGGGTGCCTCTCTGCTCCTTCGTCCCTCTCTATGAGGATTGAACTCGTTCCAGAACCAGTGGGAGAGGACTTCTGGTGCAGGCAGCTCCTCCCACAGTGTCCATCCCCCACGGCTCACCTATGCATGCTCCAGTCCTGGCCTCCAGTCTCCCTGTGTCTCCAGCAGTTACCATCCTCCAGACTCCAGGGGCCCTGGCCTGGCTCCCACCAAGACAATGCTGGGTCCACAGAAGCTCAGGTGTTGCTGAGGAGCAACCCTCAAAGAGAAAATGTGTGTTAGCATGTGTGTGTGGCATGAACTTATGCAAAAACCATTGCACAGTTCTTTGCTGCTCTCCCCTCAAGTTCAGCTGCTGATGAAGGGGGAGGAGGAGGAGAGGAGAGCTGTGGGTGTCCACCACCAGCTGAGCTTCTAAATCCTGCTGCCAGGGCAGGTAGGGTCAGTGATTCAACTTGTCCCTGAGGGGTGCAGAGAGAGAGGACTCTTTCCTGTTCCTTTGCAGCTGAAGGATGATGGCTGAGCCCTGGCAGGCCCTAAGCCTCCTGCTGGCCATTCCCATTGACTCTGATGACCCTCACCTACCAAGCAAGGAAGAAAACCTTTCTAAGTGTCCATGAAGTGACGGCAGTAGAAAACCATGCGAAGGACACCTTGCAAATGGATCACCGTAATTAGCATACAACAAGGAAAGTGATGACAAGTACCACTTCAGGATCTTCCGAGTCCTGAGAGTCCAGAAGCGGGTGAGTGTAGTGACTTCCCGCCTCTCCCCAGGCCTGATACGCCCACATCAGGCGGCCACTGGTGTCAGAAATAAACCTACTCAGGAAATTCAACCTTGCTAGTTTGAAGTGAGCACTTTAAGAGAAGCACAAATTCACTAGGTGAACAAGCATGCAATTCCAAACGAAACCCAGGGCCAGGATCCTCAGCACATTACATCCCAAAGGCCAAACCTGCTGCCCACTTTTGTAAGTCGTGTTTCAGACTCAGCCATGCCGTGGTGTGCTTGCCTGCCACTGCTTGCTGCTGCCACACTCACGCTGAACTGAGTAGTTACAGAGACCGCATGGCCTAGGAAAACCTACAATGTTTACAATGTAGTCCTTACAGACCCCTATCCAAAGAACCACTAGCATCACTTGTGTTATCCATGGATAGATTTGCCCAAGGGGAAAGATCATGTTTCTGATGGTTTCTGGTTAATTCTCTATGAATGACAAAAACAATCATGAGTCAAACAGAAAGAGGAGAGAGGAGCCCGCCCAGACCAGGTCCTTGTTCTGGATGCAGGGTAGCGGAGCTCCCAGGCACAGAAACCACAGACAGGGGAGAAGGAGACACGCTGTACCTCCCCACCACCCGCCGCCCATGTCACTGACCACTTGGAGTATCACCTGAACGGGAAATGCAGCCAACCACCTGCCAAAGCCAGAGACCATGAACTGTGTCCCCCAGGAAGGCAACTTCACAGTATTGGGTAAAAGCACTTTAACTTGTGGACAGAAGTCCTTTTCAGTGAGGTTTTTCTGTGGCTTAGAATGAGTTGGGAAGAATTAATTGAATTTCACTCAAGCTGGCTTGAAAGAATGCATGGGTAACACCTCCTTTCTCAGAGAGGAAAAAGCCAAAGGTGCAGACGGCTGGGATGCTGCTCCTTTGTTGCTGGAAGGAGTAAGGAGGAGGCTGAACGTATCCAGAGAGGAGTTGAGGGCCGAGCTGCAGGCACACGGGGTGAGGGAAGCAGACAATTCTTAATATATTTGAGCAGCCTGTGGAGGGACGAGTGAGAAAAGCGCTTCTGACTGGAATACCTCAGCCAACATGACAAGGCTGCACAAGTGCTGGGCCATGAGGCAGCGGCCGTCCTCTCTCATTTCATCCAGCTGTGTTCATCCAGCGGGAGAAGGAGGAGAGGAAACAAGTTTGGAAATGATTTGACTGGGTGAGGGGCACAAACTTGCATGCGTGTGCTATGCTGGGAAGCCACCACCCCGAAGGCAGCTCAGGCCCAGTGCCTTCTCTTTCCCATGCACTGGCCCATCTGTGGGACAGTAAGCAGATCCCGACCCACACCACCAGCACCACAGTGTGCATGGGCAGAGTGAACTCTTCTGCATACAAAGCGGCCTTGAAAGTTGCCATGCAATCCTATGCGCCTATAAATCTTCTTTGCAGATTTACCCAAACAAATGAAAATGAGGCTGCCTGGATGTCCCGCTCTGCCTGGCATGGCCCTGATCTATGCCTAACTTCTCAGTGCAATCATTCATAGCATCCCCTGTTGCTTATAAATGTCTCCTGGTTAGGTTCATAAATTATATGAGATCAGCCTAGTTAAGAAATGGCTCCGTGTCCTCAATACAGAAATGTGGACCCTCCCCAGCTCCCTCTGCACTTTTACATGTTTTTAGTTCTTCAAGATCTAACAAGGTAGACTTTTTTGTTTTTTTCCTGAAGAAGATTTGCAAAATCTGCAAAAAGAGTAATTAAAGATGACAGTAAAGTAAAATGAAAGACGCATTTTTGACTCGAGAGATTGAATAGTGGAGTAGGTATTCTGAATGTTATTTTAAGACAGTAAACACTAAAGTCAGCACCCCTACTCCCAGGCTTTCAAATCAAGAGCAACAAAACAAAAATTACGCTAAGAAATTGGTGCACTCATAATAATATGCATAATATGTTTAAAGTATTATTTTAAGGGAAAAGGAAGCAAAACAGAGAAGTAAAATTTGAAAAAGAAAATAGGGATAAGAGAGAGAGATGATGCAATGGACGGATGGATGAACAAATGAAGCAAGGCTGCAAGCACGGAGAGAGAGGCAAAAATCAGGAAGTAAAGATGGATGGGTGGACGGAAGGAGGGCATAAATGGAAGAATTGAATTGGAGATGGATGATGGGTAGATGGAAGGATGGATGGATGGATGGGTTGATGAGTGGAAGGATGGGTAAAATGGATGGATGGGGGGATGGGTGGAAGATGGGGTTCGATGGACAAATGATGGATGGACATATGGCTAGATGAATGGAGAGTAAATAGATGGTTGGAAGAATGGGTGGATGCAACAAATGGAGTCATGAGAGAACAAGTATGGGAAGAAGTGAGTCTTAAAAATGAGTAAAAATGAAGAGGAGAAAGAATCAGCAGTACCCATGGTGAATATGGGCTGCCTTTAGACACTTTATTTCTAAATATTCCATTTGATATTTATTTTGATTTCAGTCACTTGGATAGCAACATTGCTGGGATCATTCCAGAAAATGCCCTCTGTTTGGTGGTCAGATAGATTGTAGGGGTGAGAGGTGGTGGCCTTTTCTTCATTTTCATGTCTTATATCCTCTTCCTTCTCATTTTAAATTTCACCTTGCATCTTTTAAAATACTGCCTTTGTTTTTTTATTTTAGGCAAGTCAACTGCTTCTTCAGTGTTTGCTATACCCTAAATCTGAGCAGCACAAAATTTTGAACAAAACCTGCAGCAGTGACTAGGTGTCCTGGAACATGCAACTGTGGTTACTGCATGTGAGAGAATCCTGCAATGAGCAATAATCCTTAAAATAGGCAATAAATGTTTGTCAACATATTCTCTTAAGATCGTGGATTCCACTTTTTTATTTTTCCTTTAACCAAATTCTTCAGCTCAGGTACAATCTGAAACTCTGCTGGCCAGGGCAGTTTTTAGGGGTCCAAATGAGGTGACCACATTATTCCTGACCTTATTGCCTACAGACTGTCATGGTAGCAGAACTCTAATTTCATTATCACATCAGGCAAGATATTAAGATTCCCAGATTTTGAAATAGTATGAGAAAATGAGAAGCAGAATGAGGAGAGGGAAGAAGCTCAAAGCAACTGAACAGTCAAGAAAGATATTTGCAAGTATGGCCTATGATGCACCTCTGAGGGCCCAGTGAAGATCACCCTCTCTCCTTGCCTGAAATGCGAAATAAGAAGAAATCACACAAAGAACTAGAGAAAGACAAGGCCTTTGCTACTGATATACAATCCAGGAGAAATGCCTTACTTTTGTAGGCAAGTGCACTTTCTAATTGCAACCCAGAATTAGACCCTGCCCTTTGCACGAGCAACACTACCAAACTAGGTCTGTGCCCATGAACAAATTCCTCTCCTGGAGGAGCAATATGTGCTCCCATGTGAAGGAGGCGGACTGCAGTGATAACAATGCCCAGTTCATTCTTCCCAAACACCTGTCAGATTCATCCCAACAGGAGAGGAAAGTCCCATGACAGGAGAAGCCAGAAGTACTCTGTCTAAGGGGCTTTTTCCCAAGAGAGGGCACAGCAGCCACGGAGGAAGCATCCTCCAACTCCAGCCTGATTCAAGATCTCAGATGATGTCCCGGCTCACTCCCACTCCAACCTCCTCCTCCATGTGGTCGCAGAGGCCAAGCAGCTCAATGTGGGGTTAGTGTGTCCTCCTTCATGTCCAGTAAGAAAGAGAGGACGATCTTGTTCCCAAGAGCTCAAGCAAAGCCCTGGGCTGTGGAGCCACACCACAGGCGAGGTCTAGAACACCATAGCGTCCATGCGCACACACATACACACACACACACACACACACACACAAACACACACGGCTTTCTATCTCCTAAGGGGAGAGGGAGTTGGGGTATTTATCCAACAGTTCAATTCCATCAGTATTGGCTCTTAGGGGCATGAATTTCTAGTACCTCTGGCCTGAGGCAGCTCCAGGGCAGAGTAAGCAGCAGAGACAGTGCACAGATAAAGGGGCACAGGGTCTGGCACCTGGAAGTCGAGCTGATACACACAGAAAGTGAGAGATTTGAGAGATTATAGGCAGAGCACTGACAGGAGAGCTTTGCACGGTGAATTGTCAGCTGAGATGCATGTCAGCAACACCAAGTCTCACCAAGATAGGCAGCTGGCTTTGAAAGAACAAATCATTTTTTTGGCTTTTACTCAATGCTATTGAAGTGCTGGAATGCCCAGGACCTCAGTTTCAGTGGGGAGCCCAGGGGTTTCCTCCTAACTGCCTGGGATGATGTTAACCTACAATGTCTTCATCTTTAACTGAGAACAACAGCACCTACTCCTTGAGGCAGTTGCAAAGATTGATGATGATAATGGCTACAAGACATGAACACAGTGCCTACCACGAAGCAGGCATTCAAACACATATTAAACTATTAGTAGGAACACTGGCAGTGGCAGTGGTAGTAATTTGAATACTAAATAACGCTCAACACCTTTTCTGGATACTTTGGCTATGGTGTCCCCAAAGCAGGCATTATTATTCCTGGGGAGATTGTTATAGATGTGAACATTTATGCCCATTAATCTCTTGGATTTCAGCCAATGTTGTGGGGCTTTGAACTTTTTAAAAATTAGTGTATGTTTCAGGAATTTACAAAGGTAGGTACAGGAGAAGTCCCCTGTGTCTTTCCTAGTTTCCCTAATGGTTATCTCTTATCACATCATAGAAAAATATCACAATTAGGAAGCCATCATTGGTACTGTGTGTGTGCCATTGAGTCACATGTGTACATTTGTGCAACCAGCACCATCGCCAAGACACAGTGACCAGCTCCATCACCAGAGAGCTCTGCTGTGCTGCCTCCCGTACTAAGCCAGGCCTGGGTGCCCACTCTTGTCTTGATGTTGGCTCAGGTCCACCCTTCCTGTTTGCCAAGAAGTTATGAAAGCAAGGTGGGCAGGGGGTGGTGGTGGAGTTCACTTAAAAATTAAAATAATGCCGCAAGCAAAATTTGGTAAAACATTATAAAAAGAATAGAGTGTCCATATGAAATTGTATTTAAAGAGATAGAAATACACATTGGTGTGCTGAAGCGTGTACTCCTGCCCAGGTGAGAGGTGCGCCAAAATCTCAGAAATCACCACAAAAGCATATCCATAACCAAACAGCACCTGTTCCCAAAACCTATTGGAAATAAATAATAAATAATAACAATAATAAGAGATGACTAAAGTTGGAAAGCAGAAAAAAGAAAAATAGTACAATTAGACCATATAAATAAAAGGTGTTCAAAAAGTAAGAACTTAGAGATTGAACAAAATTTAAATTGATAAGTGGCAACATTAGAAAAACAAATTAGGTAAAAACAAAAATGTTTAAAAGTCTTGAGCAAAAAATAGCTAAAGGCTAAACATAAGCACATCTGATTACCCACTAACTCTTAGGCATATATCCAATAGAAACACATGCATGTGGCCAGGCACAGTGACTCACGCCTGTAATCCCAGCACTTTGGGAGCCCGAGGCGGGTGGATTGCCTGAGGTCAGGTGTTCAAGACCAGCCTGGCCAACATGGTGAAACCCCATCTCTACTAAAAATACAAAAAAAAATAGCTGGGCATGGCAGTGGGCACCTGAATTCCTAGTTACTTGGGAGGCTGAGGCAGGAGAATCCCTTGAACCTCGGAGGCAGAGGTTGCAGTGAGCCAAGATCGTGCCACTGCACTCCAGCCTGGGCAACAAGAGCCAAACTCTGTCTCTGCCAAAAAGGAAAGAAAGGAAGAAAGAAAGACAAAGAAAGAAAGAAAGAAAGAAAGAAAGAAAGAAAGAAAGAAAGAAAGAAAGAAAGAAAGAAAGAAAAAGAAGCACATGTAATGTGTCTAGCATTAGACAGGTACATGCATGCTTGTTAATAGCTACTGTTGTTAGAAGCTGAAAATGACCCAAAAGTACGCAGTCGTGTATGTGTAATAAATTGTGGTATATTTACACAATGGAATTCTATACAATAATGAAAGTGAACTATAACTGCTACAAGACAACACAGATGTATTGAATTCAAGAAGCCAGAAACAAAAGAATATACATTGTATGACTCCATTTCTAAAAATGCAACCAACAAGCTATGTTAAGCTAAGATGTTAGAATCTGGACAGAGGCCTTTGGTGCTCTTCATCTATATATGGAGTGTAAAAGCTGCCATTTCGTAGGTGGCTGGGTGGTGCAGTGATGATCAAATGGACAATGTGGGCAGCCGACCAGTGTTATCACCTAGTCAGCCCTCAATTAGCTTAGATTTGCAGGTCTGGGTGCTTTCACTTTTTGTTTTTGTGATGTTTGTGGGGAGGTTGTTTTTGCACAGGAATTTCACCTCCTTTAATTATTTTCCTCCATCCTCTCTTCTCCCTCAGGTCTTGCTGTCAAGTTTGAGGTTCTTGCCTGAGTTTATTCTTTCTTTAGCAATACTCCCTCAAGCGCTTATGACTGGCTGGTGGCACTGGTGCCTGGGAAGAGGCTGAATGGTCAAGTGGCATACGCTAGGCACACTGTCAGCCATTGTCTGGCGCTGTGAGACCATTTCTGGTCTAACATGTACCTTCTAATCAACTGTCAGCCAGAGAAGGAGAAAACACAGGTGCCTGTTTTAGCAGCCACAAGCAATGGTGGAGGCTGCTCAATGACTCAGTGTGCAGAAAAGAGTTTGCACGCCCGCCTGAACTGCCGCTCTCTTGAAAGACTGCTTGCAGGCTGGGCGTGGTGGCCTGCCACACCTGTAATCCCAGCACATTGGGAGGCCGAGGCAGGCAGATCATAAGGTCAGGAGATCAAGACCATCCTGGCCAACACATGGTGAAACCCCCGTCTACCAAATACAAAAATTAGCTGGGCGTGGCAGCATGCACCTGTAGTCCCAGCTAACAGGGAGGCTGAGGCAGAATTGCTGAACCTGGGAGGCAGAAACTGCAGTGAGCCAAGATCGTGCCACTGCACTCCAGCCTGGCAGCAGAGAGACTCCATTAAAAAAAAAAAAAAAAAAGGAAAGAAGGAAGGAAGGAAGAAAGGAAGGAAGAAAGGGCAGGAGAGAGGGAGGGTAGGAGGGAGGAGGGAGGGAGGAAGGAAGGAAGGAAGGAAGGAAGGAAGGAAGGAAGGAAGGCAGGCTGGCTGCTTATAAGGCTGGCCTGGGCTGGAGTTTGAGAACCTGGAGGGCTGGGCCAGTTGATGGAAAACTTTTCCTACATGATAAGAGGGCCCCAGTGTGTCTATGTTCCTCTGTACAGCAGTGAGGTTAATGTTGAACCCCCGCTGGGTCCTCCAGGAGTCTGAATTTCTGCATATGCCAGGCAGAGGCTGGCCTTCATGACCAGCCCCCAACAAAACCCTGGCTGCTGGGTTTTAAGGAACTTTAGACACATACTGTCACAGCTCACTTCTGGGGGAATTGAGCGTGCTCTGTGTAATGGCACTGGGAGAGGACTCCAGAAGCTCCTGCCTGGTTTTCTGAACCTGCTTTTGCTGGTTTTGCCCTGTGTCCCATTGTTACCATATCAAGCGCTGTGAGAATGACACTAGGCTGAGTCCTGTGAGTCCTCTAGTGAGTCACTCAATGTGATTTTGGTCTTGGGAATCTCAGACACACTCACAAAACTGTGTGTGAGTCACAGTGTTGCTGTGTGTGTGTTGGAAGAAATAGGCTCTCTACACCCAGAGTCAGAACTAGGTTGTTACATTATGAATTTCACCTCCTTTAATTTCTCTCCTCCATCCTCTCTTCTCCCTCAGGTCTTGCTGTCAAGTTTGAGGCTCTTGCTCTGTGTTTATTCTTTCTCTTAGCAATACTCCTTCAAGTTATTTCCGAAAAGCCATAGAGAGGTGGGGTGGTGTAGAAAGAATGGTGAGGTTTCCAAGCCGGGCATGGTGGTTCACGCCCAACTTCCAGCACTTTTGAAGGCAGAGGTGGGGTGGATCACAAGGTCAGAGATCAAGACTCATAACACGGTGAATCCCCATCTCTACTAAAAATACAAAAAATTAGCTGGGCAGGCTAATGGTGGTGAGTGCCTGTAGTCCCAGCCACCGGGAAAGCTGAGGCAGGAGAATGGTGTAAACCCAGGAGGCGCAGCTTGCAGTGAGCAGAGATCACACCACTGCACTCCAGCCTGGGCAACAGAGGAGACTCCGCTTCTTTGAAAAAAAGAAAGAATGATGAGGTTTCCCCAATGATTATGAGCGTTCTGTTCTAATTACACAAGCTGGGTGGGCATGGTGGCTTGCGCCTGTAATCCCAACACTTTGGGAGACTGAGGCAGGAGGACTGAGCCCAGGAGTTCATGACCAGCCCAGCAACAAAGGGAGATATTGTCTCTACAAAAAGAAGTGTTTTAAAAAGTTAGCTGGATGGCCAGGCGTGGTGGCTCATGCCCGTAATCCCAGCACTTTGGGAGGCTGAGGCGGGCAGATCACAAGGTCAGGAGATGGAGACCATGCTGGCTAACACAGTGAAACCCTGTCTTTACTAAAAATACAAAAATTAGCTACATGGCAAAAAAGCAAAATGGCACCTGTAGTTCCAGGTACTTGGGAGACAGGCAGGGGAATGGCATCAACCCAGGAGGCGATGCGCCTGGCGGTGAGCCAAGATCGCACCACTGCACTCCAGACTAGGCGACAGAGCGAGACTCCATCTCAAAAAAAAAAAAAAAAAAAAAAAAAATTAGTGGACATAGTGCGTGCTACTGAAGTCTCAGCTACTTGGGAGGCCATGTGAAAGGATCACTTGAGCTCGGGGAAGTCGAGGCTTCAGTGAACTGTGATTGTGCCACTTTCCAGGCCTGGCAACACAGCAAGACTCTGTCTCAAAAAAAAAAAAAAAAAAAAAAAAGAAAAAAGAAAAGAGAGAAAAGATTGCACTAACCCCTCTGAAGACCACTGAAAGTGTGTGTGAGTGTGCCTGTGTTTGACATGTATGAGTGAGTGGGTGGGCGGGTACGAGTGGTGGAGGCTGTTAAAGTGGGTGTGCCTGTATGTGAGTGGTGAGAGTGTGAGGCTGTCGTGAGTGTGAGCGTTGTGTGTGGGGGTTGTGAAGGTAAGTGTGTGCATGTGTGTGTGCGTGTACAATCATGTGTATGTGCATGTGTGTGTGTGCAGCGTGGTAATGAGACCCCAATGAGGGAGACATGATCCTTTACAGTTTATTAACAGCCAGTGCACAACTCAATCGTCTGAGCCCTCATCCAAGGTTTCTGCTCACATGCTCAGGCCTCCAGACAGGAATTGTTCCAGAGCTGGAAATAGTTTATCCAGGGCACGGTGTATATCAAAGACTCGCAAATTAAACTCTGTGGAAGAAGAAAGAAAACAGACTTTGGGGGAAGTATTTTTCAAAGGCGAGCAACAGGTGCATGTTCCCCAGGTCTGTCCCTGTGGCCGCCATGAACCCCACTGCAGAGAGGGAGCTGCCCACAGTCAAGGGTAGAAACAGAAAGGAGGGCCAGTCTGCAAACAGAATGTCACCCTGTCTCTCCCCCTACCCAGCCACTTGGGACCCACAGCAGTAGCTGGAGCTCGCGGCCTGGCAGGACGCTGTGGATATGGACCAGGCAGGCCAGCAATAGCATCGTCCTCCCTCCTGCACCTCCCTAGGCCCACGAAAAATAGGAGGGAACAAGGAGGAAATTGGACAATGCTTAGAGACCTGGAGAGGGAGAGAGGAAGACAGAAGAAGGACCTGGGCGAGGTGGGAACACTACTTTCACATAGAGGGTCTTGGGAGCGGGCCAGGCTGGGAGAAGGGTCCAGGCGATCAGAGGCCTGGGGGTGCAGGGCTGTACCAGCCCAAATATAAAACCTCCCTCCTTCCCCCTTAGGAGGTGCCAGGCAGCTCCAGGCTGGGTCCCAGCTGGCCCCTAACTACAAGTGGAAAAACTGCCAACTTCTAGCTGTTGCTTTTTAAAATGTTCACTTCATTGTCCTCGGGATGACTCACTACACACCTTTCTCAGCTTCTTGCTTTGCAAGGACAGGAAGAATTGCTCGTGGCCATTCCTCTTGCATTTGGTCCGCCACCTTCACAGTGACTATATACTCCACCTTGTTGTCAGCTGCAGAGAATCAGCTGTGCTGTTAGTGTGACTCCAAGCATCCAGTGGCTGAACCTCCTCTCCTGAGGAAGTTGTGGACTGGAGTGTAAAGCCCCCAGAGCCATAGTCCTTGTTCCTGGAGCTTACCCACCAAAAGCAGGGCTCCCTTCTCCCTACTTCTGGCTGGAGGGAGGGCAATGGCAGCCAGAGCCCCTGGTCATAGGTTGGTTTGCTGCAGCAGCCACAGAAAGCTTCTCACCTGCCTCCTTTCCATCCTCAGCAGGTACATGAAGCTGGGTTGCCTGGACACCACAGGCCACTCCCAGGCTGCCCCATGTGGCCTTCATAATGCAAACAGAGTCAGCATTTTGTCCCCACCCCCCAGTCCCTTCTCTGCCACTTCCTGTCTCCCTACTATCCTTCCTGACCAACCTAGCTGAAGGCAGCTAGCAACACAGTTAAAAACAGTTTGAAATCAAATCATTGATTTGGGGCACGCATTTTCCATTTGCCGGCTGACCTTGAGCAAGCTACTTAGCATCCTCAGCTTTTCCACTTACAAAGTACAAATCACAATTGTGCTCGCTCATGGAGTTGTTATGTGGCTAAATGTACATGCATTTCCTTTAATACAAAACACATTTTAAATATTTTCATAATTACAAATTATTAAATGTTTTAGCAAAGTGTCTGCAGTGTTACTTTGAAGCAGATTCAGTGTTAGGAGAGTGACAGAACACAAAATCTGGCTTTATCCCTGCAGACTCTGTCACCATGGGGAGTCCCTCCATTTTCCTGAGCCTCAGTTTCTCATCTAGGAAACAAGGAGAATAATGCCAGTTCCTATTAGCTGTACAGAAATGAAGGAAGGAGGCGTAGTGGGTACACCCACGAGCTACTTGAGAAAAGACGCCAGGATTTCCATGGCTCTTCACTTGTGATCATGTGAGGCCGTGAACCCTACAGGGGTTGGAGCCTGAAAGCTCCTTGTGGCAGGGAGGTCCCAGCCCAGAAAGGAGACTCTAACAGAGAGCTTGGGGTTACAGTTCCTGTCCGGTTCTGAGCTGATTCCTGAGTAGATGTGCAGATTAGTGATCTCACCAGTGCAGGAGAAGCCTGGGAGCCTCTGCTGCCTTGCCTTGTCACTGGTCGCCTACCTCCAGAGGGCTTTCTGGCTGCTCTGGGGTGGTGACTGACGCAGAGAGAACCCACACTGCTCCTGGGAGGAAGACACCCTCAGCAAATACTGGGACAGGGCAGCAGGGCCGCTAGGGCCTGAGGGCAGTACCAGGCTCCCAGCACCCAAGCATGCAGGGGCCATCCACGCATGGGCATTTGTAGGGCTGTACCAGGCATGGTCACACTGACTTTCAGCACGCTCGGAATGTAAGAAAACCAAACCATTCAGTCATCACTGTAACTGGACGTTCCAGTGTGCAACGAGTTATTCGGGCAATAGACTTATTTGTCTGATAAATACACAGGTGATAGTGTAATAATGGCAACGTACTTTGCTATGCTATTAAATGTTGTACTGTGATAAGTACTTCCCCTCTCATTCTGAGCCACTTCGCAGGTGAAGCAACTGAGGCCTGGAGAGTCTGGATGCTCTGACCAAACAAGAGCCCCAACTGAAGGAGAGCTGGCGTGAGGCCCCAGAGGCACCTGGACAGCCATCCATGCCTGCCCTTGTCCCCTCTGTGGGACAGGTGTGTAAGGACAGACACACCGTTGTCTGGGTGCAGGGGTGCCCAGAGGCCCATGCCAAGATCCACCCAGCCCATACCAGGAGTGCACTGCCTGCTCTGTCTCCTTATCAATACAGAAAACACATCAAATGCTCATCATTAGTTCTTTAACAGCTATCCTAATGGTAATTGATTAATTTCACAAGACAAGCCTCTTTGGAATCTCAACCAATTGTGGAAGAAACTAAGAACCAAATGGACAACATCGCCATCTTGGGGTGTGTGGTAGTGCCTCACTGAGCTAGTCCGCGGACAGTCTGCACTGGGATAAGGATTTGACCTGGCCGACTGGTCCTGCCCACCCTGCCCTCCTGCGGGTTCTCTTCAGTTCCAGCTGCTGCCACTTCTCTGGCCAAAGAGCTTCTCCATGTAGCCAGTTGTGTTTTTCCAATCCAGCTGACTTGAATCCAGACATACATTGTTGCTGCCCAACTTCCTACAGTCTGCCCTCTGTACTTATGAGCTCCACATCTGTGGATGCAAACAATCAGCATCAAAATATTCAGAAAAAAAATGTATGAAGTCAGTTCTCTATCCCCAACATTTTTGTCTTGTACCAATCGTTAAACGGTACAGTATAATAATTATCTACATAGCATTTATACTGCAATTAAAGCTATTACAATTAATCTAGAAATGATTTACTATATGTAGAAGATGTGCATAGGTTATGTGGAAATGCAAGTATCCATTTTACACAAGAGACCTGAGAATCCGTGGATGTGGGCACCCTGAGGGGTCCTGGAACCAATTCCTCATGGACACCAAGGGTGACTGTATAATTTATTATCTGACCTTGAGGAATGTTAGGACCTAATAAAAATGGTCTCCAAACAACTTTTCTTTCTTCTATTATCCTTCAATTAATATATTTCGGAGAAATTTTATATGTAAATGAAGGTGAGTGATCTGGCTGTCCCCACTTCACATCCTCCACTTTCAGAATAAACTCTCTGTGTAATGTGAAGTTTGTATAACACAGAAAACTCCAATGTAAATTTTACATCCCTGGACATTGAAAAATATTGGGGCTACAGGCTCACAAAGAATATTTGTATTTTGCCAAATAAGAACTTTAAAGGGAGCAAAATCATCCTTGCTGTCACTCTGGCAGGGTCAAATATCAGAATGAAAGGCAATTCTTCCCAAGGAAAAAGAGTTGGCCAGGCATGGTGGCTCATGCGTGTAACCCCAGCACTGGGAGGCCAAGTGGCAGATCACCTGAGGTCAGGAGTTTGAGACCAGCCTGGCTAACATGGTGAAACACTCTTTCTACTAAAAATACAAAAATTAGCCAGGCGTGGTGGCGCACACCTGTAATCCGAGCTACTCGGGAGGCTGAGGTGGACACCGCTTGAACCCGGAGGTGGAGGTTGCGGTGAGCGAGATTATGCCATTGCACTCCAGCTTGGGTAACAAGAGCGAAACTCCATCTCAAAAAAAAAAAAAAAGAAAGAGAGAGAGAGAGAGAAAGAAAGGAAGGAAGGAAGAGTTTGATCCTCAGTGAACATTGTTGTTTCTATGTAATGGAGTTAGAGTTCATGCCAGTCCTTAGTGCACTTTAGAAGCATGGCCGAGGACAGTCTGGGATCTGAACAACTCTACAATGGACCCACTACACGTGAAAATGCCCCCCACCTCGACCCTGCGGAGAACCACTGCTCGGCTGTCTGGGAGCCACCCCCAGAATCCTCACGTGTCTGAAAGGGCAAGAACGGGCCTGCTGATGTCTGGGAAGAGCAAGGGGACAAACCTGCATCTGACTTCGAATTAGCTTCTGAACTCGATATAAGTAGGTGTCGTTGCTGGCATTGTTGTAGGACTGAATGAAGAAGTTGCTGCTGAATTCATGTTCTTCTGCTGCTCAGGCTTCCTCCTGGAAGCCCTCTCACCTTTGGAAGTGACCCAGCTTGGCCAACAGGACCAGGGCAATCAGCAGCAGCAGGGGGTTTCTCCAGCATCTGATCCCCACATGTCTACAGCCTCGAAACCTTCTTCTCAACTGCACCTTCCAGGGTGTGGTGGTGCCAGGCAGTAGCTCACTCGTTCTCCCACGGTGAGCCACCAACATAGGCTTTCCTGGGGATGGCCTGCCTGCATTTAAACAGATTCAAACTGAACCTTGTCACTCACTTTCCAGTCAAAGTTCATTTTCTACCCATTTACACCACCCATTCAGTTCTTGGTGATCCAGGCAAGGGCCTTTAAACACCTGCCAAGGTGTGCAAGCCCTCTCCCTGCCTTCACAGGTCTCAGGTGGGAAGAAAGCTCCCCAGAACAGCCCTCCAGTGCTCTGCAATAGATCTGGGCCATAGAGAAGCATCACTACTTGAAGAGGAGGCCTAAGTGGAAAGGTAGTATCTGAACTGAGATATAAGGAAGAAATACATGGAGCAAGAGGTGTACATTCCCTCTCTACTCACCTTGGCCCAACTGCCTTACCAAGCCACCACCTGTTCTGTGCCTTTAGAGACACGTTTCTCCTGCTCACCTGCCAACCACCCACCTGGCTACTTCTGCCCGGATCCCCTTGTACCTTTGGGTGGCCCTGGCCCCTGGCTTGCCACCTCATAGACCCCAGTGGAGCTTCTTTGTGAGGTAATTGCAGCCTCCTATGAGGGATTTTAATAAGCTGTGAGCCCCATTTAGACATTATCCTGCAGACCCCTGAAGATTAGGTGTCACTTTACCCTTAAAAGTCCATGAGTGCCCCATTTTTAAAAACATTTACTGGCTGGGCACTGAGCTCACTCCACCCAGGCACTTTCGGGAGGTTGAGGTGGGTGAATCACCTGAGGTCAGGAGGCTCAAGATCAGCCTGGCCAACGTGGTAAAATCCTGTCTCTACTAAAAATACAAAATTAGCTGGGTGTGTGGCATGCACCTACAGTTTTTTTCCAAAGCTTTTACTCGAGAGGCTGAGGCAGGAGAATCGCTTGAACCCAGGAGGTGGAGGCTGAAGTGAGCCGGGATGGTGCCGCTGCACTCCAGCCTGGGTGACAGAGTGAGACACTGTCTCAAAAAAAAAAAAAAAAAAAAGAAAAGAAAAAGAAAAAAGGAAAAGCAAAAAGCAGCAGAAAAAACACCCTAAATGGAATCCCCCACCAGAACAAAACATTAGTGAACAGTTGATGAAATGTGAATAAAATCTGCAGATTAGTTAATAGTATTGTGTGAATGTTGATATTCTAGTTTTCACCGTTGTACTGTGATTGTATAATACGTTAAAATTTGGGAAGTGGAATGTGTGAAGGGTATATGAGAATGCTTTACGCTATTTTTGCAACCTTTGTTTAAGTCTGAAATTATTCCAAAATAAAGGTTAAAACTGTCCAAAAGTAATAAAGGTCATGTACCTTATGAAGAGTAGCGCATGGAGGAGGTGTGGAAGCAGGAGCCTTAGGATCCAACTGTCCTGCCCAAGTCCTTCGCTGGGGACTCTGGGAGAGTTACTCCCATCTCCCTACACTGGGTTTCTTTATCTGTAATATAAGAATGGGGAGAAAGACTTCTCTTGGATTGTGGTAGAGACTAACTGGATATAGGCAAAGAACCTGCTCCCAAGTCAGGTGTCGGTGCATAAGAACATCTTCTTCGTGATTCTTCTGTGACTCTGAACCCACACTTAACCCATGGCCTCCTGTCCCGGAAGCCAGGCCACCTTCCATCATGACAATGCAGCACCTGTCACAATATCCTCCTTGGAGAGCCTGTCTGGAGAGGACGGTCTCAGCCAGTGGAGGTGATATGTTTGAAATTCCCTGAGCCTGAGCTGCCGAGGGCCACTTGCTGTAGAATAGATAATGAAGGATTCTGAGTAATAGGAGGCCACCCAGACCTGGGTCATCTCAAACCCGCCAGACACCTGGAATACTCCTGTCAGACTGAGGCCCATAGAGAGGAAAAATAACATTGGGTGGGAATATAGTAGAAACTCCCATGGACATGGGGGCTCAAAGCATAAACAATACATCTGCTTAAGTAGTTATGGGAGTTGGTTGGGACTAGAAGAGGAAATGAGTCACTTGGCAATTTTAATTGAAGAAAAGGAAAACACAGACCCTGGCTATGCTACAGAAGGAGATGCAAGGGGCCTAACAGGTCACACTGGCATTCCTTAGCTTGTGGCAGTAGAACGCTTGATCTCTGACTCTGTGGACATGGAATCAGGAAAATACGATTCTGGTAATGTGCACAGTAAAGGGACAGGGAGCTTTGGTTACAGCATGGAATGGGGCAGAGCATAGTGACTGATGCTTGGGGGCTGAGGCTGGAGGATTGCTTCAGCCCAGGAGTTCCAGACCAGCCTGGGCAACATGATGAAACCCTGTCTCACAGAAAATAAAAAATTAGCCAGGCATGGTGGCGCATACCTGTAGTCCCAGCTACTCGGGAAGCTGAGGTGGGAGGATCGCCTGAGCCCAAGAGAAGTCGAGGTTGCAATGAGCTGAGATCGCACCAAGCACTCCAGCCTGGAGTGACAAAAAAAACAAAGGGAAATAGAGGACTTAGTTGTCTGTTACTGCCATGAAATAATGGAAAAGTAGGGGCTCCGCCAGTATTTCCATGGAAACAAGAGTAAATTAGGAGTGCTGGCTATAATAAATAGGAGCCTGTCTGTTCTTAAGCAATAAAAAGAAGGAAATAGGAGCTCTTGCTAGACAATGGAATAACAGGAAATGTAGGGCCTGCTCATGTCCGTGGAATGAGGGGCATAGGAGAGAAGGATTGCAAAGGGCATGAGAAAACTTCAGGTATAGATATGTCTGAATTGCAGTGATGATTCCACAGATGCATACGTACGACAAATCTCATCACAAATTGTACACTTTAAATATGTGCAATGGCCTGGCGCAGTGGCTCACACCTGTAATCCCAACACTTTGGGATGCCAAGGTGGGCAGAGACTCACATGAGGCCAGGAGTTCAAGGAAACCACTGGCCAACATGGTGAAACCCCATCTCTACTAAAAAAACACAAAAATTAGCCGGAGCACACGCCATAGTCTCAGCAACTCTGGAGGTGAGGAAAGGATTGCTTAAGCCCTGGCAAGGTCTAGAATGCAGTGAGCTGTGATTGTGCCACTTACTCCAGCCTATCTCATGAGTAAGACTCCGTCTAAAAAGAAAGAAAGAAAGAAAAAGGAAGGAAGGAAGGAAGGAAGAAAGGAAGGAAGGAAGGAAGGAAGGAAGGAAGGAAGGAAGGGAAGGAAGGAAGGAAGGAAGGAAGGAAGGAATCTTTCCCAGGAGGGTCCAGCAAACCAGGTCTCCATTCAAGAGCTGAACCTGGTAACAGGCCACTGCTGGACCAGGCATGATGGCAAGTGTGGGATTCCTGGATCAACCCGTGCTTGGTGCTGTGATGAGATGGTACGTGATCCCACAGGGGCTCCTATGAGTTGCAGAACTTTCTGGTTCTCTCTGTTGACGACTGCCAGGATTTCTTTTATCAGTCAAGCTCCTAGGAGAAGCAGGAAACAAACAATAACATGGTGATGTGTTCTATCCCAGCAGGGCTCTGCTTGCGTGGCCAGGAGGGAACCTGCAGACAGGAGTTTCCCTGGCTGTAGCTTTTCATCACTCCTTCACCAGTAGATATGGCACCGGTGTTGGGAAAGGGTCACACTGTGACACCTTCCACTTCAGCTTACATCTAAGTATCTGAAATTTTCCATCACTCTGGGGAAACAAATCATTCTGTAAATAACACGGTTGATCCTGAAGGGGTTTCTTCTCTCCACTCTCTCTTTTCTTTCTTTTTTTGCTTGTAGCACTATTTGACAAGCTCTGCTTTTTCCCTAAATAATTTTGTTCTAGGTTGGCTGCTGACCTGATATAACCCAGGCAGAAAGCAAGTTCATTTGCCACCCGTCTGCTGCCGGGCACCCTCCAAACATGGCCCAGGAAGGAATGGTTAGCAGTCTGTGCCTGCTTGAGGACTCTCTCTGGCCATGGCTGCAGGGCGGGGGTAGGGGAGCAGAGTCCACACTGCCAGCAGCAGCTCCCACTGCAGCCCTGAGCCCTCACCTCCAGGGCAGGCAGAAGAACATGGCTGACCTTGGCTGGAAATGCCTCTGATTCTGGGAGCAGGCCAGCGGCAGGCGCACAGAATGTCAGCAAAAATAAGCAAAAGTACAGGCTCCAAACTGGCATCACTCCAAAGGTCCCAGGGTACATTTTCTCTTTCCAGACACAGAAACCTGAGAAATCACAAGGCTTAAAAAGTCAGAGCGTGTCACAAGAGGCCAAGGATGTCCAGGGTGGAGGGGCTTATGGGGAAAGTCATCAGCCCCCACCCAGCCTTGGTCTCCTTTCTGCAGATGTTTTCCACAACATGGTATCTGTTTACCAGCTCTTAAATAGTCATCAGGTTCCAGGTATTTTGAAAGAAGAAAAAGCAGGGTGGATTCTGCAGGCCTTGACACCCTGCTTCCACCTTCTCCCGAGATCTTTCTGGTTTTCTGTAAGCAGATGCCTTCCCACTGAAGTAATGAGCAGCAAAAGGCAGAAGAGGGCCAAGTTGAAATCTATAATTAAGACTTCAGGTTCAACTCCTTTGCCCATTTTTCTTTTGGTTGTCTTCTGTCTATTCGTAGAGGATTTCCTTTATCCTTCTGCAAATATCATCCTCTAGGTTGTGGGTTGTCTTTTTTCATTTTATTTTTATGGCATGTTGATGAAAAAAATATTCTTAATCTTAATGGAAATAATTATTGATTTTTCTCTCATGGTTTGCATTTTTATGTCTTATTTAGGAAATCAAGGTCATACAGCTACTTTTAAATAATTTTTTCTGAAATTTTAAAAGTTCAGCATTTCCCATTTATGTCCATAATCCATCCAGATATTTGTGCATGGTACGTTTACTAATGTTTTCTTCAGAATTTTTGTATCTATCTTCATGAGTTAAACTGGCTGATGATTGTTTTTCATATTGTGCTCTTCCTGGTCGGGTTTCCAAGGTTATACTGGCCTCATCCAATGAGTTGGGGAGCAAGTCGCTCAGTCTCCACAGTCAGCACAGGCACATTTGCAACAGGAGAGTTCAGGAAGTTTCCATAACAGGGCACT